AAATTGCATATTCAGAGACGTTTTTCCGCAATCTTATGGGCATGTTCAAGAGGTGCGTAAGTTTTTCAAGCTTGAAAATCTAATCGGCTTTGCGAAGAACTTGAGTGGTGTAGAGCGAGATGAAGACCTGGTACCCACGCCGGCCATTAATGCCTTTCTACGGGAAATTCACGAATTCGTGCAAGATATCACTACCCGTTCTGGAAGGCCATATGCAAGAAGAGAGGCTGTACTGGAAAATCTGAAAAAAGCCCGAAGCTATCTCCCTGGAAAGCCGGCCCTTGCTGATGCACTGGTGGACATCTCCATTCAGATCCTGGATAAGAAAATGGAAGTCCCTAATTGTTTGGCTCTGGTTGAGGAATTTAATCATGCGTTAGAGAAAGAAGCAGCGGAGCAAGAAGTTGCAGCCGAAGAAGCGGCGGGCGAAGAACCCGATAACTGATGTTCGACGATCGACTTTTACCTATTCAATCTTGAAAATGTTTCTGAGATGTTAAGATATTTCCAGGTTTTGCATCTAGTTTGAGATCTTTTGCCACTTTTACTGTGCAATCAAATCATGCATCGAATTCTGTTCTTTTGTTGGTAGTCTCTCAATCTTTCAAGTTGCTTCCATCCTCCTTTGTCATTCCCCTGTTTTGTTGTTTTACAAAGAATCCAGTGCAATTTTGGTCTAATGGTTAGATCAAAATATTAAGTGACCAATTTTGCATTACTTGATTCTTGAGGTAAGTGCATTAACTTTCTAACTCGTGGTATGCATTGGGTCTACTAAGTTTGTTTAATTGAGCAGGGAGATTCCCACTTACGTAACTTGTACCCACATTTTCTTCCTTAGACTAGACATGTTATTTTGGGGTTCTTATTTCTTCATTGTTGTCTCCTCTCTAGTAAATGACGCTTATTTCATGCATATAACATTTAGATGATCATGCACAGGCTGACTTTAAAGGGGAATGACATTCTTATTATGACAATCATATTAGCAGTGATCATCTTGTTCTGTATTTGTAAAGCACAGTGAAAGAATTTATCAATCAATCCATATTACTATTGCAGCGTTCAATTACTCCATTGAATTATTTCATCTCTCACAAAATAAATAATTATAGTGACATGCTTAAATCTCATAATTTAATAGTTGTAAATTAATTTATAAAATATAATTTTTAATTTAAAAATTGAGATATGAATTTCTCACCTTTAATTGTAAATTTGTTTTAAAAAAATTGTAATAACTGTTAAATTAACATTAGACTGCACTTTTACAAAAGTTCTTAAATCCAGGACTTCCACACTCACATGCAGTAAATCCAACCAGAAAAAATTGGAATACATTTAATTGAATGACAACCTCGTGTGCTTAAAATGATTCCTTTGTTGAATGTGTGCCTCATGCAATCTGGAAATCAGTAGTCAAAGTCAAAACATAGGTATCAAATCAATTTATATCAACTTTAGAAAAATGAATTAAGTTGTTGGCAAGTTAGATCTTTGGTCAAGTACGACAGTGAAATGAAAACATGAGTTTATTTAATTTGTGA